ATATATATATATATATATAAAATATTGGTGTCTGCTCATTGATGAGAATAGAAGTAGAAAATAGTTGTCCACAAGGCATTGATCAAGGAATACTGAAGTTGCGGGAATTAAGAGAAAATTGTGCTTTGCCCTACTAAATTTATTTACTGAAAAATCTTTATTTTGTCTTTCAGACCGCTATTTTGAAAGCATTTTAAATGGTTGACAGCAATCCTTCCTCTGGATCACCTGAAGAAACACAAAATCCAAACCCGGATGGGAATGCACCAGCTGAAAGTGATCTTGCATTGGATAATTTAGTACAAAAAGTTCAAGAATCTCTCTCCCTGGAAAAAAGACATAAATTTTGGGAAACCCAACCTGTCGGGCAGTTCAAGGATATAGGAGACTCCAGTTTGTCAGAAGGCCCTATTGAACTTCCAACCCCTTTATCTGAGGTCAAACAAGAACCTTACAACCTTCCTGACCACTATGAATGGGTTACTTGTGACATCAACTCCGAGGACATGTGTGATGAAGTATACAACCTTCTTGCTCATAACTATGTTGAGGATGATGAGAACATGTTTCGATTTAAGTACTCGAAGGAATTTCTGCGCTGGGCTCTGCAACCTCCTGGATATTTTAGGAGTTGGCATATTGGTGTTCGTGTTAAAAGTACCAAGAAGATGGTTGCTTTCATAACAGGTATTCCTGCTAGAATCCGAGTTCGTGATGAGGTTGTTCATATGGCAGAGATCAATTTCCTGTGTGTCCATAAGAAACTTAGAACAAAGAGGCTTGCACCTGTCATGATCAAAGAGGTGACCAGGAGGGTGCACCTGGAAAATATGTGGCAGGCAGCTTATACTGCTGGAGTAATTCTTCCTACACCAATAGCAACTTGTCAATACTGGCACAGATCTTTGAACCCCAAGAAGCTAATTGATGTTGGTTTCTCTCGGCTTGGTGCACGAATGACAATGAGTCGAACCATCAAGCTTTACAAGCTGCCAGAATCAACAGTCACCCCAGGGTTCAGAAAAATGGAAATTCATGATGTTCCCGCAGTTACAAGGCTAATTAGGACTTATTTAAGCCGTTTTGTTGTTGCACCCGATTTTGATGAAAATGATGTGGAGCATTGGCTTCTGCCAAAGGACGATGTTATTGATAGTTATCTAGTTGAAAGTCCCGAAACTCATGAGGTCACTGACTTCTGTAGTTTTTACACACTTCCTTCTACTATCCTTGGCCACCCTAGTTATTCACTTCTGAAAGCAGCATATTCATTCTATAATGTTTCCACTGTCACTCCTTTGCTTCAGCTGATGAATGATGCTCTCATTGTCGCAAAACAGAAGGATTATGATGTTTTCAATGCATTGGATGTCATGCAGAATGAGACCTTTTTGAGGGATCTCAAGTTTGGACCAGGTGATGGAAAACTTCATTATTATCTTTACAACTACCGAATAAGGCATGCATTGAAGCCGTCAGAGCTTGGGCTTGTGCTTCTGTAGCTAACTTTTTTAAATTTGTCGTGTTATGCATGATTTGGGATTCGTGGTGGTTTTGTTGTAGACATTGTATGGTTGCGAATTATGTGATGTTCAAGGTGGACCTTAAATTTTGTTTTTACTTTTGAACAAACAAGTTTTACAAAGACCTTGGAGGCAAACCTGTGATGATACCACAGACTGGTATAACTTTCGGATTTCTAGTTCCTGTTTATTTGTCTTTTGTTCTGACTTATATGTTTGTCTTATTATATTTTTTTTTTCTGTAGAGCTTGGGATTTTGTTACTGGACTGTAAGAGCAGAGTAATAGCTTATTTTACTGCATGTTAGCCATCTCAACATGTATTTGAACAGTGTCATTGGATTACCCTTTCCTCATGTTTCTCAAAATCTTGAAATTTTAATGACAGAACACGTCACTTTATGAAGCCGCCAAGAATTATGTCAACTACATTTCGAAGGACATCTAAAAGAAATATCTTTAAAGAGTGGTTTGAAAATTTTAAAAAGCATCAAAATTTAATGTTAGCACATCAATTTCAATTATAATGATAAAGGCGAATGAAATTATTGCATTTACATTTAATTGATAAAAATAATCTTTATTAAAAATTAGCACTGGCAAACTTATTTGATATTCGATTAGGAAAATCTTTTCCAAATTTCAAAATTTAAAATAAATAGCATAAGATACTTTAAAATTACACATCCAATTGAAATATTAATAAATATTAAAAATATTTGCAATTTGATTTTTTAAATCTATATCAAAAAATCATTACAAACAAACATCAAAATCAGATACAATTTTGTTGTATTTAATATAAAATCTTTATCAAACTAATATTTTACAGGTGAATACTTCAATTACTGCAAGAGTGTAGACTAAACCATAGAGAAACGTTGATGGTTTAGTAATCTTTAACATCACCCGTAGCTATCTTATGTTTTAATTTCACTTTCAAATAAAAGAATTACATAGGATGGATAAATTCTAGACCACTAAATCCAATATACAAGAATGATTTATATTACAACGCTAAAAAAAACATAAATAAGTCTGTTGTATAAACTTTGGTTCCAAATCTGGACAGATTTGGTGGACCAATAATACTTCTAAAGAATAGAAAATATGCATGGCCTACAAACATGACTTTCCATACAAATTTTAGGAATAAAAATTGTTAAATGAATCTGATACAATACACCCAAAAAATGATATATATATATATATATATATATATATATATAAATATATATATATATATATATATATATATCTCATTGAATCAACAAAATTTTAGATATAGAAATCAACATCAAGTTGAATCTATTCATAGACCTTTTTCGTTGACCATCTTAAGCCAAGAGGATAATTTCACCACGCGAACCTGCATGAGTAGACCCACAAGATCAATAGTAATAAAAAACAATCAAAAGGATTAAAAAATCACAAATTAGCTCATCAATAGTACATTGTTCATATATGTCTTTTGCTAGCTGCAACATTGAATCACTATGTTCAACCAACAATGATATTTTTTCTGCCTCCTTTACTGCTTCCGCAGCCAGATATGATTTACTTTCAGCATCAGCAACTCTGTAGGCTGCAGTATCAGCAGCTTCCTTTATTGTATCATTAGATGCCGTAATGACAGAAGCTGGGGATTGCCGTTCTGGTTGTGGTTGTAATTGCCGTGGCCGGACATCCTTTGGTTTCGGTGGAGGTGATTTTGCACCAGAGGCGACATCCTTTTTTATTTTGTAACAATTTTGTACCTGTAGATGGTAAAGAGTAGATTAATCCTACAAGACTGAGACATGCTTCAAGCTTCAAGACCATTAACTTAAATATGACATTTATGCTTGCATGAAAAGTCCCCGGAGGGAGGGAGCCTATAGCCTATTGGAAGAAGAGAAACATAAAAAGTCCTAAAAATGGAAGCCGCGAAACACAGTACATAGGTGTGATGATTGTGTAAAAATAAATGTGCAAATATTTTAGATCACATTACTAATTGCTTTATAATTACCTAAATATACCAATAGTCAATAAATGATTATTACAATTTCAAAAGTGTTCACATGTGTGTGTCCATGAGTGTGTGCAATTTTGGTGCATGAAGAAAAGCATAAATACACAATATTGGTAAATATGTAAAAAGAAAAAATTAATGGTTCGGTACTGCATATACATATCAAAAGTTCATAAATGATGATCACAAGTTATGGAAAAAATAGGTTGTAGTCATAATAAATAAGCAAAATACATATCTTTCTCCCACCAATATAAGAATGTATTTCTCCTATTACGAACATGTGACAAATTCTATAACTTTTCTTTAAGGAACTCAAATTAGATTATTGACTGTATGAGAAAAACCAATAAAATATACGAAAAAGAAAGTCCAATGTATGAGATTCCCACCTTGTTAGAATTGAGTAGTGGTGAGAGTAGATATATATAGTTTTACTCTACCAAGCAGAGATGTTGTTTCCAGTAGTTGAAACAGTAAGAAAAAAGCCCCAAACCCATTGTACCAAGGCTCACACTCAACTATAATATGCAATACAGTAAAATCACCAATTCACCATATTGAAACTATATTACCTTTTCAAGTTTCCCTTGACTAACAAGCCTCCTCAACCTTGTACTTAATGCCCTTCTAAAATTTTGAGGAACCTGATGCTTTTGCTGCAGTATTATGTGTAGTGCTTGTTACAAATTAAATTCTCAAATAAAAATACTTAAAACTAACGGATAATATAGACAATAAGCAAACCATATTAAAGTAATTTTCTTATTCCCCTCTTCGCCATAAAAAAGGAGCAGGGCCTAAACAAAACCATTAGCAGGGTCTTGGAGTTCAAGAATTGATCTCAAATACCCAAATGTAAGTGAAGATGACAAACGGATGAGTTACGGTTGTTACCACCCAAAATATTTATACATTGATAGACAAAAAATTGTTGATTACTCTCCAATAAGACTGCTTTGCTAAGTCAGAAAACTTAAAAAAACAGCTGGAACTAAAATCTCCAGATCTATAAAGCATGATAATGATCACAGAATTACATATTGAAAGTGACATGCGTTTCCATTCTAGGTTTTGAAATGTAAAACCCATATCATAATCTCAAAAACAAGTATTCTTCTAACAACTTTACAAAATATAGATAGAGTAATATCATTGACAAATATTATCGAAACATTGGTAACAAAGATCTTCATCTGACCTCGATGAAACTAACAATGGCACTTAGGTCAGATCCATTATTATCCTTTAGTGCTGATAGAGCTTCAAAAACCATTGCATTATACCTGATAAAAGAACAAAAGTATCGACAGACAGCTCCTCAGATTATGATCTTAATTGGCAGAACAAATAGGTTGCCATTTTTCATATTCATAATAAAAGAATTCGAATTTGTAATTGGAGGGCCAATGAATGTAAAACAATAATGACTGCAACACTGCTAATACAGCATCAAACATCTGTTAACTGGCGCAAATTAAAAAAGAGAGTACATACATAGTGCTATTTTCATACCTCGGAGGGTTTTTGACATCTTGACCATTCGGAGAAGAATCAAGGGCAGCGACCTCAGTCCGTGCGTTTTGAGGAGCAGGGAGGGCGTTTTGAGGAGCGGTGGCGGTGGAGGAGGTGGCAGCAGTTGGAGGTGGAGGAGGAGGAAGAGCCTTGAGCTTGGGAACCCTAGGTTTGTCTTTGGAGACTTGAGAACCGTTACTGACGCTCAAATTCCGCCATTTGTCCTGAAAGAGAGGGAATTGTAACAACCCTAACCCTAACCGAAACCCAATTGTAATAAGATTGAAGATAAGAAAAGGTGTTCGGGGTTAAAGGATTTACCTTGAGGTCGATGTTGGAACGAGAAGTGAGGAAAGGGGCGAATTGAGGATCTTTGAGAATGTTCTTCCACTTTCCGGGACCGTGCTTTTCAACTCCGGCGATGAGCGCGTCTTCTTCGTCTTGCGTCCACTTCTGCTTCTGATTCCCCATTCACATTCACATTCACATTCACATTCACATTCACATTCACGACTCAACTCAAATTCAAACTTCCCTTTCCTTCTTCACTGATTCATCTCATTCCTATCACAACTCAACACGAATTCACACTTCTCTTTCCTTCTTCACTGATTCAGCTAGTTCATGTCTTCAACTTTCATACATTTTAGATTCAAAACTTCAAAAATTAATAATCTAATCAACTTAATTTCTTTTACATATTTTAAGTTCGTATTTAAATTTGATACGTGAACAAAATTTAACTTTTAAATTTAATTCCAAATAATGTTTTATTGAATTCATGATTTCGCTTTGCATTTGTTAATAACATGCACAGATAGATTTTACTTACGAGAGAAAATTATGAATATTTGCATTCTTGTGAATTTTTCCTGCAATTTTATGACCGAATTATCATTATTATTATTAGTTTATTAATTGATCATCAACTTTTTTTTTCACATATTATATCATTATATTATTTTTTATTTCATGTTTATTATCAATTTGTTAAATGTGTATAACATAACATATACTACAAACATTACAAAAATAATAATGAACGGCATTAAAAATTAAATAACTTTAGATTGTATACAAACTCTTTGAACTTCTGGATCATCAATTTACAAACTTTCTGAATCAGTCTATCTAGAATCTTCCAAACCAAATCATACGGAGAGAAAAAAATTACACTTCCCACTCTCCGTGAAGATGCAAAAGAAGAACAAATTATAATATATAAACTATAACCAACCTCAACTTACAAATTAATTTGTAAAAATAAGATAAATTTAAACTCTTAAGTAAACAATAGAAGACTTATAAATTAAAAGAGAAGTTTATTATGTTTTAATTTTTTATCTATTTTATAATATAAACTTTTTACTTAATATAAATTCAAGCATAAGTATTTTGTTTTTAACCATATCAAGAAACTTGGAAATGTTAGATACGTTGTCACAAGAGTGAAAACAAAAATGTAATATCTTTTATCAGTTAAATAAAGAATTAAATATATTTTTCGTTCTTTAAGTATTACACGATTTTGGGTTCAGTCTTTACTCGAAACTTTTGTTTCTTTTAGTCCTTTTAGTTTTAAAACTCGTATTTTTAGTCCTTAAAAAGTAACGGTGTTAGATTTCCTTCTGAGGTAGCTAACGGCAAGTGAGTCTGATACCATTTGTGTGCCACGCTTTTACTTTTTGAAATCATATTTAAGTGATGTGTCACGTATGTTTTCATTTATGAAATCAGATTAGGGCTTTTTTGTGTTTGAAAATAATTAGGATTCTTAGCAAAAATCAAAAGTCCGACAATAGCAGCAACACCCATCTCTCCCTCTCCCACCAAATAACAACAAACTCATCAGGTTCAGATACTAAAAAAGGCACAAGTTCAAATTCTGAATACATCAGTTCAACCTATGATTCAATTTCTGCCCCTTCTTAATTCCCTCGTGATTCAATTACTTCCATGACCATAACCACGAGTACACCATGGACAACTCCTACAAAAGGGTAATCACAATTATCTCCTTACACTAATCTTCTTCACTAAATCGAAATCACCATGGAAATTTGCAGAAGAAAAATCCAATTGAATGCAAAGAAACCATAAAATCCCAAATTACACTCGCGAAATCGCACATCATCATCTTCTTCGCACCTGAATAACAAATTCTAGAAATCAACAATCCAAATCATGAAACCCTAACCCGCGAGGCATCTTCCTCCTTTGCGCCACCATTCAGAGAATCTCATTCGTTTTAATCGCACCATGGAAGCATTAAACGCCTCCCTCATCTCCTTCAACCTCCGTCCAAGCCATTACGCCTGCAGCAACATGCGTGAAGCAACCTCCATCTCTCGACGCTTTTTTGTCTTCTCCGTTCAACTTCGCGCAAATCACATCTGTCTTCAATCAAACACTTTTATGCGAACCTGTCTTCAATCATTTATGAAATCAGATTAGGAATTTTTTATGTTTGAAAATAGTTAGGGTTCTTAACAAAAAGAGTAATAAAAGAGAGAAAAAGAAAAAAAAAACATGGCACAAAGTTATAAGGGAAAGTGGCATCTAATGTGGCTTGTCATTAGCCACCTCACAGAAAATCTAACGTCGTTGCTTTTTAGGGACTAAAAATACGAGTTTTAAAACTAAAAAGACTAAAAGGAACAAAAGTTTCGAATAGGACTAAACCTAAAATCGTGTGATACTTAAAGAACGAAAAACATATTTAACCCTTAAATAAAATAGTTTTGAGTACCGAAACAAAAATTATACTATTGTCAAAGTTAAAAAAAAAAAACTTTTAATCATAACATCAAGTTGAAGAAAAAAATAATCAGAAACTAAATCAACTCCTGTTATTTTGGTTCAAATTTGTGGTTAAGAGAACTTATTCACAAAATCAAATCTCTTCCTAAAACATATATTTTTTCTTATAACCATATATTTTACGGCGTTAAAAGTAAGTGCATCATAATTAAAATAATGAAAACATTCTCTTCCTAAAACATCCTACTAACCCAAGGAGCAACATTCTTTCACAAATAATGAAAACATTTAACACTTCATTGTGTGAAAAGAATAAATCATGGCACTGTTACTATTATTTTATTTTCCTTGTTTTTCTGCTTACATTTGTTTTGTCTTTTCATAGTGCAAAAGTCCTGAAATATTACCAAACCAAAAACGCCTGGTTTAAGTGGTCATCATAACCTTTGAAAGAAGTGTTCAAATTCTGTGTTTGTCATGGAATTTAACTCCGTTGGGCTAGATTTTTGTTTTTTATGCCTTGCAATACGCAGAAACATACCTGCTTGAAAATTGCACTATTATATCAGGTTTCTCAGACCTAGGACTAATGGATGATTATGCATCTCTCATCACCACTTCTCTAAATTTTTACATTACACTATGAAGATTATTATATATAGATTGAATTATGACCAAATGCATCTTCAAAGTTGAAAACCGCACTCTCTTCTGAAACTAAATAAATGGAAATATCCCTCACCCCCCACATCCGCAGAAGACAGTGCTGTTTAATTTATGTAACATGCTTTTGGAGTGCTGATAAAATACGCCCAAAAAAAATGTTAAAATAGTTGTCTCATCGAATACACAATTTTACATTTAGAAACCAAGATCAGGATGAATCTATTTATAGACCTTTCGTTGACCATCTTAAGCCAAAAGGATAATTTCACCTCGAGAACCTGCACGAATAGACCACAAGATCAATGACAGGTATAAATAATCAATGAGTCAACAATCACAAATTATAGGCAGGAAAGATTGCTTATCCATAGTACATTGTTCATATATGTCTTTTGCTAGCTCCAACATCGAATCACTATGTTCAACCAGCAATGATATTTTCTCTGCCTCCTTTACTGCTTCCGCAGCCAGATATGACTTACTTTCAGCATCGGCAATTCTGTAGGCTGCAGTATCTGCAGCATCCTTTATTGTCTCATTAGATGCTGTAAAGACAGAAACCGAGGACTGCCATTGTGGTTGTGGTGCAGGTTGTGACGGTGCTGGCCGGACATCCTTTGGTTTTGGTGAAGGTGATTTTGTTCCCGAGGGGACATCCTTTTTTATTTTGTAACAATTTTGTACCTGCAGATGGTAAAGAGTAGATAAATCTTACAAGAATGAAAACAAGCTTTAAGACCATTCAACTTCAATATGCAAATTTCTGCTTGTGTGGGAAGTTGTCGTTGGAAGGTAGGCCTATAGCCCCCCTATCGGAAGAAGAGGAGAGCTAATAGGGTCCCAAAAATGTAATCGCGTATACATTTTACAACACGGATAGGATGATTTTGTAAGACTGCATAAAATGTCCAAAAACTTAGATCACATTACTAATTATTTTATAATACATTATCAATAGTCAATAAATGATTCTTACAGTTTCAAAAGTGTTCACTTATATGTTTGTGTACATGCATGCGTGCAATATTTGTGCGTATGAAAAAAGAAAAACATAAATGCACAAAATTTGTTAATGTGCATAGCAAAAAATATTAATGGTTCAGTACTGCATATACATGTCAAAAGTCTAAGATGATCCAAATTTACGGAAAAAATAGGTTATAGTCCTAACAAATAAGCATAATAATGTATCTTTCCCCAACCCATATTAGAATGTTTTTCTCCGACTATGAACATGTAACAAAATTATAATTTCCCTTTGAGAAAACTACCATTAGATCATTGAATACAAATGTGTAATAAAGAACGATAATATATTAACCAAGTTTAGCAACTTCGAAATAAGAGAACAAAATTGATTAGCATAGGAAGAGGCAGATGCTTGCTCTACAGGGAAAAAAAATAACAGTGATTCAGTAACTAATTACACAGACATTAAAGCCATCTCAACAAGGTAACATGCTTAAATGATAAAACTGGGCAAAATATCTACATTAGAAATGAATATATTAAAAAAAAATACGAAAATGAAAGTCCAACGCATGAGATTCCCACCCTGTCAGGTTTGAGGAGTAGTAAGGTTTTACTCTACCCAACAGAGAGGTTGTTTCCAGAATTTGAAACAGAAAGAAAACAACCCCACCCATTGTCCCAAGGATCGCACTCAACTATACTATGCAATACATCAGTAAAATCAACAATTCACCATGTACAAATTAAATTACCTTTTCAAGTTTTCCTTGACTAACAAGCCTTCGCAACCTTGTACTTAATGCCCTTCTAAAATTTTGAGGAACCTGATGTTTTTGCTGCAGTATTACATGTAGTTCTTGTTACATCTAAAATTTTCAAATAAAGATTATAATACTTAAAAATAAAGACAAATATGCTCAATAGACAATTCATATTAAATTAACTTTCTAACACCTCTCACTCCGATAAAGAAAAAAATGTGCGGAGTCTTAACATACTACTTCTAAAAGATAATAACAGAACCATTATCATGTAAAAGTATAAAACACTAAGAGGGTCTCGGAGTTGAAAATTTGATCTAAAATACGTAAACGCAAGCAAAGAGTGCAAAGGGGTGAGTTACAACGTTGCAAACAAGTCCCTTGTTACCACCGGAACAATTTATACTTTGACAGACAAAAGATTGTTCATTACTCTCAAATAAAAACGGCTGAAAATCAAATCCCAGATCTATAATATTACATACGGAAAGTGATATGCATTCCCATTCTAGGTTTC